ATTCCGACGCCTCTGAAAATGTTGCCCCAGCTGATGAAGTTCCTCAAGTTCCAGTCGGCCAGGTAGGTTGGTTATCAGTTTGGTTTTATTCCGTTTCAGCGAGTTAAGGAGTAGCGATTGATCCCTTTACCGGGGAAATTCGGCCACTTAGCAGACGGCAAGCCGTTTTCTTTTCTTGTATTTCGTTTCATTTCAACGTGAACGCCCTTGTCTCTAAGCATTTTTTTAGTTTGGCTCGGTGTTGTTGGATTGAGCAGCGATTAGTTTCGACATACGTCCGTTGAGGCCTTCACTTCACTTTTGTAAGGCAGTTAGTGGGTCTTTTAACAGCATTGATCACGCTTCGGTAGCGGCTAAGCTGCGGAATTTTGCGTGCTTCGTGGTTTTTCGTAATTGAATTTACACTTTAGGTTGTCGTCAAAAGCCTGTAATCGCTGAATTTATTCTGTTTCGGCGTTTGGTACTTTTAATTTAATATTCATTGACTCATTGGTTCGCGGGTAATAATACTTTACGTTATTGCGATTGGAGATTAAAAAAATTGAGATGGAATAACAAATCGTTCTCATGAAAATAACTGATTTTTTCATTAAAACAAAAAAATGTTGCATTTTATTAAATGGATTGTAACAATAAGTATAATTACGGCTTTTCTTCTACTATTTTTAACTCAGTTTGAAACTTCAAATGCGATATAATTTTGGCTTGGGCCATCTAAGCTGACTGACAACAACTTGCTATAATTTCTGTTTACATTACATCGCAATTCGATGACACTCAGGCTCAGACACCAGAATGTTTTGACGATTTTTAGCATTCATTTAGGATTTTCAAACAACCTGGTCTCTTTTAAAATACTTTTAATTTGTCCTTACGTGGTTTTCCAGATGTAGTGACGATAACATTAAAGTTTAAAGAAGAAAATTCTAACATTTAAACCGACTAAACAATAACATAGTAAACTTGCATAATTATACAGCAACTAAAAATGACAGGTTTTACTAAATCTTTTTACTAAATCGGAAGGCCAACACAACAATAAAATAAAATTTAAAAAAAAACAAAAAATTCCAATCGCGTATGGTGATGGTGTTTCCACCCAAAGGGAACTATTTTGATGATAAGACGGTTCGGGACGATGGTGCGACCGCCCAAAAGGGAACGTTGCAGGCCAGTGGCAACGACGCGACTGCTCGCGAGTTAAAAAAAAAAGAGTGTAATTGATAAGCGTCATGTGGTTAGCGCTTCAAGGGAACCATTTAGCGACAAAGAGTGGGTGATGGCACAGAATAAAGATCAGTAACAGAAGGGCTACTCAGCGGTGCAATGTGTCCTCGTTCTTTTTATGCAAAAATATGCAGATTGCTGGCCAGAAGGCGGAGCAGCCAGCCAGTACAGCGTGTTTATTGGCCAGAAAATGTCATTGACTGGCTAGGAAAATGGCGGTCAACATGCGTAATGCGACATGCGCGAGGACAGAAACTTCAAAGCTTGCGACGTAAGTGGCCCTTCTATATGGATCTTTATTCTATGGCGATGGTGCGACCGCCCAGAACGACATTTTGTATGCTTGGCAAGCGATGGTGCGGCCGCTTGCGGATGTGTTTTGCGTAGTGGCGATGGCGCGACGGCCAACAGGGATTTTGCGACCGAGTAGCGGTGTGACTGTCCAGCAGGAAATTTTCGTTTCGCTCTTGTCATTTTGAGCAATTTAGTCTTTTAGGGCGTTGCTGACCCCCCTGAAGCCCTCCTGCAACAATTGCAAGAAAAAGTCCGCGTTCTGGAAAAGAATCAGTCGGAAACTTCAGTAGAAGCGGTATGTAGTGAATTTAATATCTACGACGAGTTTAGGAATATAGCAAGTGACCGGCCTAGCGTTCTAAACTCCGACTTAAATCAGTCAACTGAAGAGATTATAAATATATCCCATAATGAGACTGATATACATAATGAGTCAGTTCTTATTGTTAAAGATCAACCTAGCGTCTCGAATACCGATCTCGTAAAAAACTGCACACTAACTGAAGCTACTAATCTAAATAAAGCCAGTAAAACT